AATTTAAAAAGGGGTTGCCCTATCTTCACTTAGAAATATTTTTTTTTTCGAAATTGACTTGCCAAATTACTTTAAACTCAGTGTTGCACGGCGAACTTTTTTTTCTGGTACGGTCTAATGTACATACATACATATGTAGATATATCATCGTTATCCGGACAAATGCAGCGCTTATGTGTTTTGTTTTCCACAGCATTCTTCAAAAGCGCTCGACCACTTGAAAATGGCTAATAGTGGCATAAATAACCATTAGTACATTTGCAGTGTGCATTAGTGTGTGTGCGTTTGACTTGATCAATGTACGTGCTTATCTTTTAAACAGCATACATATGTACTCGTGTATGTAAGCTGCTGACAAGAACAATATTAGCTAGCCACTGAGAATGCATTATTAGCTCCTTCTGTGTTGATGTTTAATGTTGGAATAATTTATTTTCTAATATTTGCGCAAGCATTCGCGGAAATATGTGTGAATATTTGACCAACTGCACGAAAGCCAGGCATGTATGCAGTAATGGGCGAAAATAAAGGCAGAGACGCAGGCGAATCAATGAGATATTTGCCTAATGGAAAGCATTTCGGTAGGTGGTTTTGGAGCAAACTCTCCCATTTTCAGTATCAGTGGCGATGCTGTGCGAACGCAATTGATTGCAACTAGTACGGTAACTTCACAACAGCCTTCATTAAATCTTACGAATATACAGTAGTACAAACAAAGAAGTAATGAAAAGGTCTCGCCTCGCTATTTCTTGGTTAGAAATGAACAGAAACGCAATGATTTTATAACGCTAACAGTCCCGTTACTGGCGCATTCAATAAACTAAGTACAGCTGCGGTCAAAGTAATAGCACCATAATTCAGAATGGTGGGGCTTGTATTTATTTAAGTATTTTTAAAAATTTTCATTTAAAAAATAGCTCGACCTATAACAGAAACCACATAAGGTGAAGTTCCAAACCTTACACAAAGTTCACAAAATTATTCCAATTTCAATTTCAAAAAATTTCATCAAAATTTCCAAGTTTATATCTCGAATTTGAGAAAAATTTTCAAGTACGCAGTTTTATAACCCATTAATTTTGGTGTATTAAAGTGCAAGTTTCAAGTCCCTAAATATTAACGTTGATTTTTTAGATTTTTTTTTTGCCCAGCGATGAGGAGCATTTTCTTCCATGTAAAAATAAATTTTGATGAGGCGCTATATGGAAAACTGCGTACTCGAAAATTTTCAAAGAATTCTAGATAAATAGTTTGATACTTTGATCAAATTGTATGAAATTTTATAAAACTTTTTTTGTGCAAGCTTCGAAAAATTTAATTATGTGGTTTCTGTTATAGATCGAAATAAAATTTAAATGAAAATTATTAAAAATGAATAAATTAACATAAGCCAGCAACACCATTCTGAATTTTGGTGTTATTATTTTGTTTGCAACTGTATATGAATCGATTTGGTTTTGCTAGTGCCCAAAAAAAATATCAAAATATGGTACAAGTATACAAGTTGTCAACAGAGGTCACCAGTAGTTTCCAAGCATCCCAACAAAAAATGTTTACTTCAAAAAACACATCTGATCATGTTCCATACACACGTACATACTTAAGTGTATTTTACGCATTATAACAAATTGGTTAATCGATATTTTTTAGTAGGACATATTCCATATCTCCTTATGGGTCTAGCTACATTATTTGGAGATTCTTTTTAGAATGGACTCGCATGATATAATACCCACGTTCTAATATACCAAAATAACTTGTATATAATCAAATAAATTCGACTTTTAAAATAGATGGCAACCCTCTTCAAAATATTTTCAATATAAAAACCTTTCAAACATCTTTCGCCTAACAACCAAATTTTATTACGTATGTTATTTACCTAATTGCCTTAATTCAAGTTGAATTTGAATTTTCCAAAGGTGGCAACCCTAAATATATATACTTTTTAATTATATATATTGAGCTTTGTACCACGATTGTTTATTCGGAAAAATTGAAAAAGCAACAAAGTCTAAGCGGTAGAAGTTATAGTAGCTATTTCGGAGATCACCACATCTCCTCATCAGACTTCTTTTTTCTAGACTTCAGCAGGGATCGAACCCGCGTAATCGATGTTCAAAGTCAGAAGCGTTTAACCACTGAGCTATGTACATCCCGTAAACTCTTGTTGCTAACTTATTTTCCTTATTCAACCAACTACTATCAAGTGCAGCTGATTTTCCGCTATTTAAACTCGACAGCGTGGTTGTTGTTGTCAATTCTATACATCCATTTGCTTATTTGCTTTTGAGGTTTAGACTTTGTTACTTTTTCAATTTTTCCTAATAAACAATCGTCGTACAAAGCTCAATAAAAATATTAAAAATTAAATTCTAACAAGCCACAACAACAATGACAAATAAATTTAATTTGATCTTTAAAAACATGGCAACTTTCCTACATGTAGTTAAGAAATTAAACATTTCGATTGATACCCATATTGTAATAATAATAACTTGTTAAATATTTTGATTTTGATTTTGTAAAAAGTGGCAACTCTTTCGGCAGAAATAAAACTTTTGCACATCTATAGGCCAAGCCTTTTAATTTGACACCTCAGATTTGAAATTCGAACGAACGGTGCAGAACTGAACACGTTAAATAATAAAGTTATGAAATAAGTAGTTTCCAGTCGCGTAGGTACTCAACCGCAGAACGTATTTCAATGATTGCTTAAAATAATATTTATCGATTTAGTAGATGTAATCCAAAAACAAGTCTACTTGAAAAAGTCAAAAGCTGCCATCAATTAATTAATAATTGCGTTCCAACAGCGCTTATATATAGGAGATTAATGAAAAAGCATTTGCAGCTTGAAAAAGCGAGGCAATTAAGCTACTGAAAAATGTGCTGAATTTTTCAGTCTATTCAATAAAGTGTGGCTTGTTTTCAGGCAAAAGCAAAAAATCCTTTGCATATTTTTTTTTTTAATAAATTTCATTGCAGTTTATTGAGTAATTGGTGTATTTCGGCAGAAAAGCTTTCGCATTGCCGATGATTCGCAGAAAACTATTATACCTTTTTCCAAGTATATAAATGATATGGGAGCACTTCAGCACAGCTGCAGCCTGCCAATTGGAGTGGATTTCAAGCTAAAAACTGTTCAACTCCAATTACAATTTAATGCTGTTTTACCGGGAAAAAGTGTCAAAACCGCACGGAATTCACTTAAAATCCTGCTAGCCCACGTCACGTTGTTGCGGCAAACCGCAGGATATTAACAACAACTTAAAAAGTGGATTTTTTTTCGCAAGCTATCTCTCATGCACTCCTGCAAGTGGGCGTGTGTGGCAGGGGCACCTGCGCATGTGTAGCCGTACTTATTTTTTTGTCCTCCTAGTTGATTGTTTGTTTTTCGTTTGTTGCTTGTGGGCTAGCTTTTAGGTCGCTAGCTACTTACACCGCAGCATCAAATGACTGATGACAGAGTTAATTACAATTAGGTTCAATACCCGAACAAATACAAATTGTGTTTGCCACAAAGCGCGCGTCGACCAAATGTGGTGCATTTATAGTTGCTGCTGTTGTTGCGACCGATGATACGCTGTTGTTCAAAAATCTTTTTAGGCCGTTAAACCTTTTTGGTTGTTTGTATTTACGCAATCAATGGCTTATAAGTACGCACAGTAACATGCCACATGTCAACAGCCATTCGCTTAGCGCCGAGTTAATTAAGAGGTAAACAACGCACAATTCAACACACAAACAAAAGCAAAACATGGAGAGAAACAGGACACCCAGCCGCCCAACAAACTAAATCGAATAGTGTTTTCAGCAGGGTACGAAAATAAACTGTACAAAACAATTCCCATTTGCTCATCGATCATCATATCATTTGTGGTTTTGTACAGTTTTGTAAATAGTCAGAAACAAATTGTAAGATTCACTGTCATTTTCCCCAACGAGAAACGTTTGCTTTTCGTTTGTGACAATTGTACCATAGGGTACGTTTTATATGTATGCAAACGTTTCAATTACGTGAAAAATAATTTTTTCTGTAAATTTTCATATCCAATTCAGTTAAAAAACATTTTTATTTTTTTTATTCATTGCAGCCATTCGTTTTGTATTTATTTATTGCATATATGTGCATACATAAATATATTTTCCCTGCACGATTCATTTCGTTTGTTGTTTCGTCTGTAACTACTAAACTACTGTAGTGTACTGTCGCCAAAGTGAACTCAGCCGTTTTGTTTCGTATTGTACCGAACTGTTAAAGTAATAAACGAAACGAAATAGTAACGTACAATATAGTTTATTTTCGTACACTGGTTTTCAGTGGTTTTGTTGCTGTTGTTGGTTTCGCATATGTATATGCCACAAAATCAAGTGGTGCCACCAACGGCTGCATTGTCAATATTGGCTACATAGGCTGTTCGTAACGGTTGCACTGTTATTGTTGGTTGCCCGCCGCATTAGTTGTCACTTCGCCACTGCATCGGTCTCTCTATCGCCGGTCTCGCGCCTTTTGTATCCTCTCTGCGTTCGATCCGCAGCCGGCAGCCACCACAGCCACACCTCTTCAACAGGCTTGTGTCATATTCAAATTGGCTTTTGTAGCTGTTCCAATAGCGGTTTTGTGGTTGTGTGTGTGTGTGTGTGTGGTAGTAACCCAGCCGACACAAGAACGAAGGTTCGCTTTAGCGAACAATTTGCGAAAGAAAGTCTTCCGCTAATTGTTCGCTAACTCGACACAAGAACGAAGGTTCGCTTTAGCGAATAATTTGCGAAAGAAACTCTTCCGCAAATTGTTCGCTAACTCGGCACAAGAACGAAGGTTCGCTTTAGCGCACAATTTGCGAAAGAAAGTCTTCCGCTAATTGTTCGCTAACTCGACACAAGAACGAAGGTTCGCTTTAGCGAATAATTTGCGAAAGAAACTCTTCCGCTAATTGTT